ACCACAAATTTTGATTTCTCTAACTAGATGAACAAGTAAGTGAACCATAATGTCAAAAAATGATGGAGGAAAATACACCTCCAATTGACACAAGATTATGGAAGCTTCGTCTTCTAATTCGTCTAATTTTTTGAAATCAAGAACTTTATTACATATGGCATTAAAGAACAAACATAATATGGTGATAATTACTCTCAATATTTTGGTAGGATGCCACAGATAGCCATTAGTAGAAGTTTTTGCATTAAGACATGATAATCATGAGATTTCAAACCAATTAACTTGAGATATTTAATTGATACAAGTTTCTTAATGTTTGATGAGTAACCTTGGGAAACTTTAATACCATGCAAACACTCGCAAAAAAATTTCTTTTCCTTTTTACATAGAGTGTAACAAGCTGGAGGCAGATAAGTTCTTTTTCCTTTTTTCTATTTGAGCCAATTGTTTTAGTATACCCACCCCCTCCATATCGAGACGAGATTGCTTACTATCTTTAGTCTTTCCTGAAATTGTTAAAAGTGTTCCAATCAAACTATCACACACATTTTCTCCACATGCATCACATCAAGACAATGTCTTACATCGAGGCTTGACCAATATGGAAAATCAAAGAAAACATACCTCTTTTTCCATATATTTTTTCTCAACAACTTGCTTTTTTTTCCTTTTCTCTCTTTCCAAGTACAATATTAATGTGTTTCTTCGTCGATAAATTTCATCTCCGGTTAAAGGTTTAGGAGCGATATCAAACTCATTCTCTCTATTAAAAGCCTTCCGCAATCTATGATAAGAATGACCGTGTTTTAGAAATTTCTGATGCCCAAGGTAAACAAACTTTTTTTTTCTTCTAAACTCAAGTTGGTGATAACATGTATCAGAATCATAAATAGGACACGCTTTGTGTCCTTTGACAGTACATCCAACCAAATTATCATATGCAGGAAAGTCGTTGATTATACAAAATAACATTACACACATCTTAAACTTTTCTCCAAAATATGCATCATCAACTTCAACGTCTTCCTCCCATTAAAGTCTTAGATCTTCAATTAATGGACTTAGATAAACATTTATGTTGTTTTCAGGTTGCCGTGGTCCATAAATCATCATACTTAACAACATATACTTACGCTTCATGCATAACTAAGGAGATAAGTTGTAAATCGTGACAAGAACATGTCACGTAGAATGGTTAATACTCATACTACCAAAGGGGTTCATTATATCGATGACAAGGTCAAGCCTGAGGTTTCTTGGCTCAGTTCCAAAATACGAAAACAACAAATCATTTTTCTTCCATTACAAAGAATCAACTACATGGCGTATATTTCCATCACATTTTCTTTCATCTACATACCATCTAATATTCTTTGCGTCATCCGCATTAGTTAAAAGTCTCTTGAATCTTGAAATTATTGGCAAGTACCAAAACACTTTAGCAGGAGGCCTCTTCCTACTAACATTGTCATTTTCATTGTCATCACCATTGTTGTCCTTCAGCTTGTAACATAACACTCCTTATTTCAGACATTGATCAAAATGTTTATACTTTTTCCTGTATAATATGCAGTCATCAGGGCATGCACATATTTTGATATACTCCAAGCCCATTGGACACCTTATCTTCTTAGCATCATAACAACGATCAGAAAAATTGTTATTTTCTTATAGCATTTGTTTTAGCAAATAAAGCAATTATGTAAAACTTTTATCCAACCACCCATTTTTTGCTTTCAGGTTAAACAATTTTAAACCGCAGACAATCGTGTAAAATTTGTGCACCCTTTGTATAAAGGGGCGTCCTTATCACTACATAAATTATCATAAATATGGGCTTTCTTAAAAGAATATTCTCCAATATCACGGAACATATCTTCTAGACGATCATCCATATATTCATCTTCATCAACTTCGTGACTTTGTGACGTAGGGTTTCGATTTTTTTCCACCTCACCATGCCACGTCCATATTATATAATTTTGACATATACCATCACAACATAAGTGATGGAATATCTCATCCTTTGTACCTTCCTTTATATTTCTGCAATTAACACAAGGACAATAAATGATATCATTATTGTCAGGAAGATTATGATCAGTGTATTCAAGGAATTCAAGAACTCCTTTCTCATATACCAGACCTAATCTATCAGCTTTCATCCAACTACAATCCATAAATAATTCTGAAATTTATATAAAAAAATATTGTGAATGACACAACAAAATCTTAATCTAAATCATGTCACAAAACTAAAGCATATTCAGTACAATAATACAACTCTAAATCATAAGCATGTGGATAAATCATATGAACTTTGTAAGAAACAGACCACAAAATCCAACAAAAAAAAACATAAAGCATATTCAGTACAATAATACAACTTTAAATCTTAAGCATATGGATAAAACATATGAGCTTTGCAAAACAGACCACAAAATCAAACAAGAATGAAGACGGTGAAGATTATCAAGAATTAGGAAGACGAGGAAGAGAGTGAAGTTTGCACGAAACATATCGTACTTCGAAGAGATCAAGAATGAAGATAGTGAATATTATCAAGAATGAAGATTCAAATGAACTAAGATTGTGAAGATGGAAATTTCGCTATCGCTATCGCTGTTGTTTCTGGTTCGTTGGTTCGCTTAAGGCATGTTATGAAGGAAATAATGAATCTGTTTTATTTTAAATTTATCAGGAAAAACTTTAATCACGGTTGATATTTACAACCGCAGTGAAATGTATATATTATTACAACGGTTGTAGACTAAAACCGTGGTTAAATAGTGTTCAATTTTTTATTTATTTTTGAACTTAATTGACACGCGTTATTGTAATAGGAAAAATGAAAAAAATGTAGTTGTTAGGATTCAAAGCTTGTAACTATTACTTTATCACCACATTTGTTTATATCAACTGTGATTAAATAACTTTCAAAAAATAAAAAATATATCAGGCGCATCCAGTTTGCAATATTACAACGGTGGAATGCATAACAGTAGTAGAATTAGTGTTACCGAAGGCGTATTTTGTAGTAGTGTGTGATGAACCAGTTAGTGAATTTGGTTAGAGAAGTTCGACAAGAAGCTATTGAAGGTCAAATTAGCACAAACAGACCTCAGAGAATAAGAAACATGTTTGCTTGACTGCAGTAATGTCTAATCACATCAGATGATGGGGTCGATAATGAAGGTGATTTAGTTCACTATGCCTTCTATGCATATATTGAGCTAGTCAATGCAGCTGAAGCATTGAAACACTTAAGGAGGATGAAAGTTATGGTGGATGAGATAAAATCTATAGAAGACCATATATTTGAACACTAGTCGAATTGCCAAAAGAGAAGAAGACAATTGATGTAAAGTGAATATACAAAGTCAAGATGAATCTAAAAGATGAAGTAATTCGACACAAGTCAATACTTGTAGCAAAAGAGTTTCTTCAAAACAAAAGAATCGACTATGACAAAATCTTTGCACCAGTAGCTAGTAGTGGTGGACATAGGTCGGATCCGAGACAAAAAAATCAACCCGAATCGTGACATCTGATTTTAAATCCATTTCCAACTATTTAATTTGTCAATTTTTTTAATGTTGTCTTTTTTGTGTCAGATTGCATTAGGTTGTTGTTTTGGGTCACTTGTAGCCATCAACAGGACAAAAATGAAAATAAAAAGAGAACTGAGGAGAATAATATGGTGGTGAACCGGTGACAAATCCAACATACTTAAAATTTCGACAAGAGATTATTTATGCAATGATATCATTCTTCCTTTTGTTTCAAACTTTTGTAGTGTCTCAGTCTTTGTTAATATTTTTCTTTAAAATAATAATTGTAAAATATAAATGTGTTATCTATGAAGCTTTTTTAAATTGAAAATGGAGATGAGAAAAATTTGAAAATGAAAAGAGAAGAGGAAGATACAAAGGAAAACGTATGGAAATTACTCATTATGTCAAAAAGACTAAGCAATAATCTCTTTTCAAAAAGCTCTACTTTATTAGGCTTTATGACCACTTTCCACGTCCTAATACTAAAAAGCAATAATCTCTTTTCTAAAGACCAAGACTAAGTAAGCTCTTTCACGTTATAACTGTATTAATAGTTTTTTGGCAACTTACCCCTTCAATTAGGTAATGTTATAATCCTTACACTCCAGTATAGTATATCACAATTGTATCAAAATTTGACATGAAAACACTGCAATAAACGGAATACCTTCATGGTACTTATAGTTGCATCCTTTGTTTTGAAAATAACCAACACTTCTCCACGAAATATATTGGGAGTTGAATTCGACTCTATCCTCTTTAATCGCCCCATATAATGGGGCCATCATCATCACCCCACCCCGCAGTAGTGGCAGCGATGATGATGACCATCCTCCATAACCAAGACATTTGTATCAAACTTGTTTTATTTTGTCTGATTAATTAATACTTTTTTTTCTTTTAAGTGATAAATTGATTAATTTGACACTAGATGACAAAGTTTTGAAAACATCTCATTCATTTTTCTCATTCTCTTTCTATCTCACACGTGAACAAACTTAGGCAACAAGTTTTCAAACCTTTCCACTCATTTTCTACTCACTCCACTACCTCACTACAATTCCACAAAATCCTACCATTCTCATTTTACAGCTCATATGTCTTTTCCAAAACTCTCACACACTTAGTCACACTTGTTTTGCTCATTCTAATCTATAAATACAACCACAATTATACCAACTCTCACCATACCATAAGTTCAACCTCCTCCATAACATACCCTGTATTAGCAACAACATTGCACTCCTTCTTCTTTCTACATTAACAATCACATAATTTCAATCTTCTTCAAAACAAGAAAATCATCAACAACACAACACCAATTCTCCATCAACCATTTTCAACAATTCAAAATCAAAAGATGCATTAAGCCAAAATTAAAGCAGTTGAATGACTACTTTTTAGTCCTTGATGCTTAGGCAATTTTAGGGAAGAACAAACCCTAAAATGAGTAGCGAAATTGACGACAGATTGAGCGATTTACCCGATTCCATTCTTCATCTCATTCTCTCCTTTTTGAATATCAAACAAGCTTTCCAATCTTCCGTACTCTCAACAAGATGGAAGAATCTCCCAAACCATCTTCCATCTCTCAGATTAACTGCCCAACACTTCAAATCCATGGAAAGTTTCACCAAATCAGTATCTCAGATTTTATCTCATCGCGATAATTCAACTGTCCTCCACACTCTAGAATTTACCCGCCCGGAGGATTTTGTGGAGTTTCATATAATCAAAAGTGTTGTAAAATTTGCTGTAACTCACCATGTCAAGCGGTTACAGATTTGTATCACTAGTGATATTCAACTATTTCGACGATGCTTGTTTTCTTCGCAAACCTTAACATCTCTTCAACTTTGGGTCCACGAAGTTATTCAAGATTGGAAAATGTTATTTCCGAATTCTTTGAATTTGCCTTCATTAACAGACTTATCTTTGGCAGGCTTCTGCTTTGGCCCTGGCGCTGGCAATGATGGTTGCGCCGATTGCGCTGAGCCGTTCTCGGCTTTTAACAAGCTGAATACTTTGACCATTCTGTCTTGTAGAGTTCTGAAAGCACGGAATCTTAGTATATCAAGTACTTCACTTGTGAATTTAACTATGTCGGGATATTATTTGAATATTGATGACCAATTCCAACTCCATTTATGTGCCCCGAGTCTTCGTAACTTTGCTTTTACCGGTACTCCAAATCAAAAACTTTGTCTGAGCCATCCTTGTTCTCTTCAGCACTTATACATTGATTCAACAGACATAAGCGCCAATTTTACGGTCGAAGGTTCCGTAACCATGGTCGAAGAGGATTCTACACTCTTACTCAGCTGGCTGCAAGAGCTTCCTAGTATCAAATCATTGACAGTCTCTTCTAATACTCTTCAGGTTTTGAGCTTAAATTGCTTGCATTTTCATTATTTGTATTTATTTAGAATAAATTTAAATCAGTTTATTGTTCAATGCACAGGTTCTCTCTTTTGTTCCTGATTTATTCAAGGTTAAATTCAGTTCTATGTGTAACTTGGAGTCCCTGAAAGTAGAAATGAAACCGCTTACACGTGAATTAGACATGAAATTGGGAATAGCAGCGTCGTTGAAAGAAGATGAAGATACCAAATTTAATTTGAGGCAAGGTCCATTCATACCTGATGGAGTAGTGGATTTTTTGCTTCAAAACTCACCGTCGACAAAGGTTAACATCATACCAATTAATGCTAGAGGATTTTGATACTCAAAAGTTAAGAGATTGAAATCAAGAGAGTTCTCGAAGCGTGGATGCACTATAACAAGAACACTTTTACAAGAGAGTTCTTTCTATTATCTAGATAACATGTTTAAGATTTGTTTACTCTCCTGCGTTCTACAATATTATAGTTTCTATGTTGTTTAATGTATTTGATTCTTAGAGGATTTGATTTAGGCATAACAAATCTAACAACAAACCATTTGCTTGGACTTCACTCTGTTGCATTTGGCCTTGATTTGAGTGCTTTCTGTCATCTTTTGATTACTTGGATCATTAGTCCTTTTGGAACATTCAATAGATCATATTATGTTTGGAGTGACCTTATGGCCCGTTCGGGACTATAGAAATCAAAAGGTTTTGGCTGATAAAGACATTTCAACAACTTTGGCTCATAATGCCAAAGTTGATTAGTGAAGAAAGTCCATATTGTTACAATGTTGATAACTCTAGTAATGAGAAATGCTCTATCTGCTTTCCACACTCTTTAAATCTAAAATGCCCTAAATTGTCTAGAGATACATCCAAAATCATGTTTATCTTTTCTTTTACTAGTTTCACTGTTTTTGGAAAAAAATTCCAGAGATATATTTCTATATCATATTTAGGGAGATACATCTTAATTCATATATTAGATCCCTAATTTAATTTATTGTTTTACTTTAGTCTCGTATCTAATAATCGTTACATTTTAGTTTTTTTAAAATGGTTTCGTTAATCTAACTAATTCTTTCCGTTAAATTTAACCTACATAACAATCTAGTTGGATTTTTTTTATCTACATGGCTTTAATATTTTAGAACTATTAACTATGTGGCTTTATTGTTCCTATCTTTTTTTTCATTTTTCTCCAAAACCCTAACAACTACCTTCTTCTTTCTTCTCCTTCTTAGATTTTCTTCTGACTTCAAGATATCTCATTTTTTCTCTCACGGCCATTCTCAGTTTGCTACCTCCTCCACCCTCTTCAACCTTGTCTTCTTATTTTGTTGTGTTCTTAGACAACACTCCAATGAATTCATATCTCACTCATTCTCAGAGAGATTGATTTGTCTCAAAAGAAATTAACCCAGATGGAAAAACAACTTCTTTGTTATGAAAGATTTGAACTTTCAAGACCTAACATTGTAAACGAGTTGAAAATCTTCCTCCAACACCATCAACTTCCTCTAGGTTAAGTTTCAAAAACTGGGATCACTGAAATGGTGTCTTCTGTTGGAAGCCTCTTGGTAATAACAGTTTTAATTTGAGCAGTTTGAATTGTAAGAGTTTTGAGTGTTTGAAAGGTAAGAAATTGAGTAGAGATTGTATTAATCGTTTTGATTTAGTGAGTGGTGGAAACTAGAGGTGGTAAAATGGATGGATTGGATGGATATGAATTGGATTGTTAATGGATGGATCAAAACAATCCATTAATCCATTAACAATCCACTAAACTCTCTTAATAAAAGTCCAATCCAATCTATCCATTAAAAGATAAAATCCATTCAATCCATCCATTAACATATTTATAATGGATGGATATCCATCCATCCAAAAAATTAATTTAAAAATTCTTAATTTAATAAGTGACAACATAATATCCAATCGATTTATAAAATGAGATGGATGGATTGAATCCATCCATATGAGTTAGTGGATAAATTGAATCAAATCTATTAAATTATTTTTTGTCTTATGGATGAATTAGATAGATAAATTATTAGATGAATTAGATGAATATTATCTAAATGGATTTTACTGTCCCCTCTAGTGGAAATGAGAATCAAAGGACTTTGAAGAGTAAAAGTAAAAATGATTTTTTGATTGATGATGTTTTAGGTTTAGGAAATGGTGGAATTAGAGTAGAGTTTGATATTGGTGAGTACTAGAATGCTTAATAGAAATGTTACTGTGATTACAAATACTCTTAATGTTGATGCACCATTTAGTGAATTCATTGCTGCAAGAGGACACTTTCCAATTTACTTGAGCTCAGATCATAGGTTCTTGTTTTACGACAATGTGTTTGATTTGATTCATAGAACACATTGTTGAAATCCAGTCAATAGAGTATTTTCTACCAGTATCCTCATAATGGTTTGAGGATGTAGTACTCTTGTTGAAATCCAGTCCGTAGAGTATTTTCTACCGGTATCCTCATAATACAAAATGCTATGAAATTGTTATAAATGCGATATAATTGTAGTTTGATTAACTTTTTGAATTTGGTCCCTTAAATAATAATAAGTTTCAATTTAATCATTTTATTGAGTCATTACATAGTTGACACGTCACGCTAATAAAAACTAGCGTTTACTCATCTAAACTAACGGAAAGGATCAACATTGCTAACAAAGTTAATATTACAGAATCAAATTGTAATAATTTTTACTAAAAGATTAAAGTGGAACTTAAAATTAACTTATAAGTTCTGAAAAATATATATATAATTCTTAATAAAACACTACTCACCTCGTATTCAAACTCTAGATTATCTATACTGTTTCGTTTACATTACAAACAAGAGAGTTAAGAGATTAAAAAAGGGTTATCTCACCCAAAAATTACAACCAGATACAAGCATGTTTATTGATGCCACAGAACAATAAAAAAATTCAGAAATGACAAATTGTAATATTAAACTCCTCAATAGCATTCCCAGATGTAGAATTATACCAAACAGTCTTAGCCAAAGCATAACCCCTAGCAAACCTAAAAGCACCAGTTCCTCCAACAATAGGCATTTCTCTAACATCATCCACAATAACATTCCTTCCAAGCATAGTAAGAGTGCTCCCTTTGTATCTCCCTTCTATAAAAACAAAATTAATATCCATCTTAAAAGCAAAATCACCCTGTTGAGAAGCCAAAGCATAGGTTCCTTGAGCTCTTCCAATAAGCTTTGAACTTACATCTTGTTCTTCACTCAAAGGGTTGTCTATAATGTATGTGGATCCAAAAGGACCATGAGATGATTCACTAGGTGGGTTGATGATTTTGAGTGTGGTTGCTTTTTCACCATCTAGGATGTCATGGAAATAGAAGTGTAAATGGGTGAAACTTTGTTGATTTTCTGAGGGTAGCATTATATGAGATTCTTCTGAAGACATTACTCTTCCATGAACACCCATGAAGTAACTAGTGAAAAGAATAAAGAAACTAAAAATGGTACCCATTCTTGTGGTAGTGAGTGTAGAAGGCTAAAAGCTACTTTATTTATAGATCTCTTAGAAATTAATTAAAACATGTGATCTGACCTCTGATGAGGAGGAGAAGGGGGTGTACCTGCAAGACACTCTCCTTCTCCTCTTCATCACCGGTGAACAGGTAGCAGTCCAACAGAGTGTAGTCAGTCTTTAATCCCCTTCTGATCAGGTCATATCAATATGTTTTGAATTGTACACGTAAAAATTAATAAAGAGATAATTAATTTTTTAAATTTAATGGATCATCGGTATATTTAGTTTATAAATTAATCAAATACATTAATTATTTAATAAATTTAAAAATTAATTTGTCTCTTTTTATAAAATGGAACAAGATAGTATTATATAATACACTTAAATTTATTATTGTCTTGAGTTGAATGACATGTTAAAAAAATAAATTGTGTCATGTATTTTCAAAAATACATTTTATAAAATTGGATTTTAAAATATTATAAGTTTTTATATTTGTTTTTTTTTTCTAAATTAAAAGATAATTTTTGACATCTTATATCATAGATATATATAATTCAATATTAAAACATAGTCGAAATCGTAATTTTTAAAAAATAATTGTATCTCAAAATTATTTTTTTATGAAAAAATATTTAAAATAATTTTTTTTTTAAATTGTGCAATCAAAAAATTAGTACTAGTAGTCTAGTAGTATTATTTATATTTGTTTACTATAAAACCATGGGCAATCAAGTGTTAGAAAATTCCATCGTGGAGCTCGTGGTTAAATTTTTTATTTGAGAAACTACTAACTAGTGTTAACATGATGTTTAGTTAACTGACATCTTAATAATTAGTCAAATTAATAATTTATTTCAAAATTCAAATCACCTCACCAATAGCCACTTATATTTACATCTTTTACACAATTTTGTGACACAAGAAAGATGCATGTTGTGTCTCAAAAAAATTTACAAAATCATCATGTTTCTTTCTCTCTTTAGTGTGGAAAAACTGAATTTTTTTCATCTCTACCATGTGATTACAATTTTTTTTCCATAATACCATCATTTTCAATAAATATACCATAATGCCATGTTTTCAAAAAAAAGTGTATTTTTGATACAAGGTTGCCGCCTTTTCAATGGACAGAAGAGTTAAAATATTAAAAGGTGCCGCCTTTTCAATGGGCGGCAGTATATAAAAATTTGAACATTGCTTCCTTTTCATTGGACGGCAGAATATACTTTTGAAGTGTGCCGCCCATTTAATGGGCGGCAATGCTTACGTGTCCTTTTTTTTGTTTGAAACTATGGCAATGTGGAATATATAGTTGAAATGTATGGCAAAAAAGTATTTAATGTCTAATAATATGGCATTAATGAAAAAAATTCGGAAAAACTTGGTTGTTGTTGGTTATTTCCCAAATGCACAACATTCCATAGAAAATGTGAGGTGCTAGTATTTCTAAAGGACTTGTTGCTAAGGTGTTTATTAAAGGATTTTTTTAAATTAGAAAGCATTGAACATTATAAGACTTTTTTTTAGAGTAATATTTTTGTGAGAGACAAATCACATATTCATTTAAAATTTTAAAGTGATAGGTGTATGAATTCTCTCACTTATAAATGTTCAACTCTGCACATTTATAATTAATGTGGGACTCCAACTCACGCTTGTTATATTATTCTCAACAATCCCCCTCAAGGCTTGTTATATTATTCTCAACAGTCCCCATCAAGTGTGAGTCCATAATACCCCCCTTCATGTGGAAACTCTTTTGCCCACATATATTTGTACCACAGCCTTGAAGTTGCACCATGTCTTAGTGCAGAAAGTTTTGGTTAAGACAGAAGCACCACCTGCTATCCCTGAGATTCCTAGGAGTTACTTCAAGGCTGGTTCCTTCTTTGCTTTTCATCAAGGAGCACCTGGACACGACATTGAAGATTGTTTTACTCTCAAGGAAGAAGTGCAAAAGCTTATCCAATAGGGCATATTGTCCTTCAAAATGTGTGATCCCAAGGTTTAAGTCAACTTGATGCTAGAACGTGGAGCAGGTTCCTTTGTGCACATGGTGGATTGACGCTTTGGAGTTTGAAGGTTGTTCTTTAGGCTATGTATTTTTAGATGTTTAGCTCCTTTACTTCTTTTTCATATGTAATTTTCTTTGTTTGTTAATGCATTTGTTTTGGCATGTAAGAACTTGTTTGTTTTGAATTATCAGTGTAATGAATATGTTTTTCTTGAAGAAATCCATTTGTATTCACTCATAAAATGTTTTTTCTGCTTTATAATGCCAATGCTACCCAATCTCTTGCCTAGGTGGAGAATTGGAGGGAGGATGACGAAATTAAAAATGCGAGATGTCTTGACGTATGCTTTTGAACTAAACCCTGCTGATGATGTAAGCCATTGTTTCAAATCCCCAAACACTGGAAGATAATCCCTTGTTAACGTCTTTGAGCCTTGAAGCTGGAGTTTCCTTTCATACAAAAAACCCTCAATTTTAACCTGGGGCTGGGCAGTCTTCAGTTAACCTGATCGAGCGTCCAAACTTTCAAAAAAAGAGAGGAGTGAACATCTGAGGATCCACTACACGTATATCTCACACATTAGAAGGCTAGGAGTCAAATTCATAATGATTATCCCTCAACTAGCTAAGGAATGAGGCAGTCACAACAATTCAAAGCGACTTAAAGTCACACAATTTGTTCATAAATAAAAAATAAATAAATAAATAAAAAGCCCACTAAGTCAAAACCTATGAAGGAGATTTAGGCAAAATTAGGGTATCTTGCTGAATTTCAAGGTCAAATAAAAAACTCAGTCTAGGAAAAAGTTAGGGAATCAATAACGCAAAAAGTGAAAAGAAAGGATTACAAAGAAAAATCCTTAGTACATAACAAAGTTGTGTAGTCAGACGCCAAAATAAAAAAGGTAAGTGACTTCCATGTCCAAAGCCTCAGTGGTTTCTCAACCATACTAAAACTACTTTTAAGAGATGAGTGCTCGCGTCAAGTTAGCTAAATGTAGGGTCGAAGAACATCACGAAGACTGGGTGGGTACAAATAAACTTTGAGCCTTATATCCTTTTTTTCATAAAGCGTGAACAAGACGATATTACAACTCTGAAAAGACCTTGTAATACCCCAAATTTTACCCTTTCTTTTTTATTTTTATTTTAAATTCTTATTAACTTAATAAATTAACCTTTTTTTTAAATCTTGTTTTTTTAACTAATAATAATTTAATTAATGTTTTTTTAACTTTTTTTTTTTCTATTTAGTTTATTTATTTAAAGCTCTTCTTACTAACTTTTAGGATTTAGATTAAAATTTAACTTTTTTTTTTTTTTTTTCTTTTCTTCAAGAGTAAATTTTTTATAACCTTTTTTTAAATTAATTTCTAACACATTTTTTAATCAAATTCTAATATTTTTTTTTAAAAAATAAAAATCTTTTTCTATCTTTTTTAAAATTAAATCTTTTTTTCTAACTTTTTTAAAGCTAAATCTTTTTTCTAACTTTTATAAAGTTAAATCTTTTTCTATCTTTTTAAAATTAAATCTTTTTTCTAACTTTTTTTAAATCTTTTTCTAACTCCTCTTTAAAGTTAAATCTTTTTCTATCTTTTTTAAAATTAAATCTTTTTTTCTAACTATTTTTAAAGCTAAATCTTGTTTTCTAACTTTAAATCTTTTTTTTCTAACTTTTTAAAATTAAATCTTTTTTTTCTAACTTTTTTAAAATTAAATATTTTTTTCTAACCTTTTTAAAACTAAATTTTTTTTTTCTAACTTTTTTAAAATTAAATCTTTTTTTCTCTAACTTCTTTTTAAAATTAAATCTTTTTTTCCTCTAAATTCTTTTTTAAAATTAAATCTTTTTTTTTTTTCTAACTATTTTAAAAATTAAATCTCACCTTTGTCACTTTTTTTTGTTCTTTATTATTTTTACTCTAAATTTTTCTATCTTTCATTAAAAAATAACAAAAATAGTTTTTTATTATTATTTAATTATTATTTTCGTATTTTAATTAAATCATTTTTTAAAATATTATTTTTTTCACTTTTTTCTAAATTATTCATAAAAATATCCAAAAAATCATAAAATAAAAAAATATTGAAAAATTTTGTTCCTTTTATAATATTTTTTATTTTAGGAATCAATAGGATTATTAGTTTTTATTTTAAGTTTAACTAATTATTTAGTTTGGGCTTTAAAATGGGCTTTAGGGACATTATTGACAATTTGGTGTTAACCCTAATTTGTTCCCTATATATACATGTGTTGCCTTGTTGGAAAAGAGGAGAGAATGAAAAAAACCTAAGAGGGGTCAGAAGGTTTTCTTCAGAAAAGAGGAGAGAGATGGAGAAACAAAGGAGATCCCCAGAGAAGAAAGGCGGTCGTTCCCACAACTCGTTAGAAGGATTGGAGCTCTCCAGTGTTCCCTTATTCAAACCTTTTTCACATTTACCGAAGCAAACCTCCGCTTCGTAGGTTAAATTACTAAACCTTTTGCCTTTTCATGTTTATGTGCATATTTTGCCATGTTAATGTGTTTAGGTCCGTTAAATTACTAAGTCCTTTGCATTTTTCATATTTATTTGCATCCTTGCCATGTTAACCTTCATTGTTGTTTAGATCCGTAGATTTTGATATGTATGAACCATGATTGTGTCGTATAGGATTGTTTGCATGTCCATTATTTGTCTGTTTGCATTTGCAATTCTATTGTTATTTTTTTTTTTATCAAAACATTTTTTTCCCAAAAAAAAAACCTTTTTTGTTCCCGTAAACATTTTTTCCCCAAAAAAAACCTTTTTTGTTCCCGTAAACATTTTTTTCCCAAAAAAAACCTTTTTTGTTCCCGTAAACATTTTTTTCCCAAAAAAAAAACCTTTTTTTGTTCCCGTAAACATTTTTTCCCAAAAAAAACCTTTTTTGTTCCCGTAAACATTTTTTTCCCAAAAAAAAACCTTTTTTTGTTCCCGTAAACATTTTTTTCCAAAA